ACTAACTAACTAACTAACTAACTAACTAACTAACTAACTAACTAACTAACTAACTAACTAACTAACTAACTAACTAACTAACTAACTAACTAACTAACTAACTAACTAACTAACTAACTAACTAACTAACTAACTAACTAACTATTCTAACTAATACTTTGGTCCACATTTGCTACTTTTAGACTCAATTATCGACTTACCATCGTCACCACAGTTAATCCTAAGTAAATAGAGCATACATGACCAAATAACCACCATCATATTACAGGGGCAATTAGGGAAAATTTTTTAAATAGTCGTTAATTGATATATCACATGTCAGAACGAGATACTTTTTATTGATAAATCAGCTATAATTCACACAGTAATATGTTTTTCACCATTTTATCATTTTTTGAAAACGTGATCAAAATAACAGGGGTAATATAATGAGGTAGACATGACGTGTTTAAGAGCAATAAAGTGTTTGACGTAGACACAAGTCGACTAGTTGAAGTAACATCAGCAAAAGTGTCAACCCTATCAACGGGAATATTTGAGACGTAGTTTTTCTAAGCAATAATTATCACAAAGGTTAATTCAGCTCAATCTTTAACACTTGCGTTTATAAACAAACGTAGCACATTTAATTATCTATTTCCTCTACTGATTCAAGAGCCTCTTCAACCTGATAAGCGATTTTTCTATCCCGCACCATTACACTTTACCTACTTTATCATATTCGCAATCTTGGACTTCTGATTTAAGCATTGCTCCTACAAGCGCGTTCACACAACTATTCATCATTTTCTTGATACATTCAGCAAGCTTCTCTTTATTTGGCCGTATTGGTAAAGGTTCTTCTATTTTTCTCCTTTTNTAATTATCACAAAGGTTAATTCAGCTCAATCTTTAACACTTGCGTTTATAAACAAACGTAGCACATTTAATTATCTATTTCCTCTACTGATTCAAGAGCCTCTTCAACCTGATAAGCGATTTTTCTATCCCGCACCATTACACTTTACCTACTTTATCATATTCGCAATCTTGGACTTCTGATTTAAGCATTGCTCCTACAAGCGCGTTCACACAACTATTCATCATTTTCTTGATACATTCAGCAAGCTTCTCTTTATTTGGCCGTATTGGTAAAGGTTCTTCTATTTTTCTCCTTTTTACTCGATACTTGGCCTTTTTACGTTACTGAATGCACAGAAAACAATTCAGAATACTGCTCCCTTACAGTTAGCGTTTGATAGGTGTGACATTTTTAGTGATGTTACGAATAGTCACCTACTTCTATCCAACAAACACCATAACTTTGAGTTATACTCTATTTAAATTGATTAGTTCTGATATCAATCACACATTTATACTCCTGTAATATGTTCAGTTTGATAGGTAAAGGAGTATGATATATCACTTTTATCGTTTTTGACTAATAACACACATGTGCTGTACAGTTAAAGTATCGGTAACCTTGTTTATAAAAAACTCAAACGTCAACTTTTACTGATATTCGTTATCATTAAGGATAAATATTTTTAGCAAAGGAGTACCCATTACCATGGAACTAACTAGGAAGAATAGACTGATAAAAGCAATCATATTGGGTGCATTCACAGTATTGATGCTTACTTTGACTATCGTAGTAACAGTATTACTGGTACGAAAACACCTAAAGAACAAAAATAACCCAAAGAATGAAACAGTAGTACAAAAATCAGATAAGAAGACGGAGACAGTAAAACCTGACAAGTCTGTCAATCTCAAACACTATAGCAACTTTATTGTTATTGCAAAGAAGATTGAAGAACTATACAAGACTTCTGNGACAGTAAAACCTGACAAGTCTGTCAATCTCAAACACTATAGCAACTTTATTGTTATTGCAAAGAAGATTGAAGAACTATACAAGACTTCTGATGATGCGGCAGTAACACGATATCTGGAATCCTTTGGTTTTACACGTTCTTACATTGTTTCTATGACATTGTTGTTTACGAGAGATGATGTGTTTCTCAAAATCAGCCACCCAATAACAAAAGTTATTAACAGGGTGGATTGTGAGACAATTAAGAACTTGAAGCATCCTAACATAATTGAGACGTATCAATACTACAAATTTACTGCAAATAACTCAGTTACAAAGACTCAGTATCCTGTTGAAATTACACTGAGTGAGAAACTGAATCAATTCACTTGGAAGGGTGGTGATCATGCCCACATAAAAATGGTTATGAAGGATGTGTTAGAGGGATTGGCATATTTACAAACTAAGAGAATTATTCATAATGGGATTTTGCCAGTGAACCTGATGCAGAAATGGAATGGTGCACGAAATGCAATCAAAATCATTGACTTTGATGTGTCCGTAATATTACCCGAGGGTAAAACAACAGTTCGCCTAGGGAGCTATATACCAACATGGATCGCCGCTCCTGAATTAATAATCTATAGCTTTGTAGGCTTGAAGACTGATGTGTGGATGGCAGCACTCAACGTGACGTTATCGATGCTAGAAGTCGTTCCTGGAATCAAAGGCGATGCGAACTTAACATATTCTTTGGCGAGTACGTATTTTGGGACGACGTATTTTCGACGCCTTGATCTTGTGAATTTAAACCAACCATTTTGTGCTCAATTACCCGGGTATTTGCCAGCCAATTTGAGACAATTCATAAATTGCTGTCTGCAGGTTAAAGAAGACGACAGATCTACACTAAAAGACTTACTGAATCACCCATTCCTTGCGCAAACCCCTTGAAAATGAACAGAGACACAATACTAGATTTATATCTTTTTTATCATAATCGTGAACCCTGGCATGCACTGGAAGACAAAGCTTTTGAGACAATTATGCGATATTTATTATGTTCCTGATAGCAGGTTCAAAGGTATATTGTGTAGCAATTCATATCTATTATTTTGTGTAAAAGTTAAGTGTTTTGATTAGAATTTTGTTATAAAAAGTATTACGGTTCGATATTTAATCTTCTTTCCAAGAATTTTGATCACTCACACAGGCTGTTATGTGTCAAATCAAACAGTTTGTACTTGGTGTAATATGGATTACATCAAAACATTACTTAACTGCAACTTTTAACTGATTAATCACCTCATAATACTTACAGCTATTTCATATTCCCTCTTGAGTATACAAATTGGTGTTTTATTAGTCAGATAATGCTTAAGGTCAACCTATCATCATATTACTTATACTTTCTCATATATTTTCCATATTTTTTGGTGCGATATCCTATTAATTGTTGTACTGATCATGTTTATGGTGAATAACGAGGTAATATTTGTATTTCAGCTTATTCTGGTATCAATAAACTTCAGGAACATTGCATCCTAATTGCTCCTGCCACAAAGATTAAAATAATATATTTTTGTCCTCTGTATTACTTCCTTTCATCCAGAAACCCTATATCATGAATTATAAGCAAACTTATAACGAACATGCTTTTTTAACTACTGAAAGCAATAACGAATAGCAGCAACTAAATCAGGTGCATTATCAAAACACGAATAAGACACAATAAAAAGTGAATGTTGACATATCTTAGCCTAGTTCCCGAGCGATTGTACACATACTAGACTGTTTTTTTATTGATTTTCTAGGGACATCCAAAACACGTCTAATAAACTTCTTTGAACCATTTGTGTTCTTCTTAAGCNATAATATATTTTTGTCCTCTGTATTACTTCCTTTCATCCAGAAACCCTATATCATGAATTATAAGCAAACTTATAACGAACATGCTTTTTTAACTACTGAAAGCAATAACGAATAGCAGCAACTAAATCAGGTGCATTATCAAAACACGAATAAGACACAATAAAAAGTGAATGTTGACATATCTTAGCCTAGTTCCCGAGCGATTGTACACATACTAGACTGTTTTTTTATTGATTTTCTAGGGACATCCAAAACACGTCTAATAAACTTCTTTGAACCATTTGTGTTCTTCTTAAGCCATCTAAATAGCTTATAAATAGAAACAATACAAAGATGCTCGTTATAATAACCTAAAATATACCCCTATTGATTTTTCTTAACACATTTAATATAGGTTTTTGTTTAATGAATGAAGTTGTGCCTCATATTATATCATAAGCATCAGAAGAAAATCATTGGCATCCAGAAACATGTTTTTGATATCAAGAGGCACAAGTAAGAAGGGTAGATTGGCTCAACATGTTATTTAGAGGAATTTGCAAAAGCCTCATAAGTTTTAAGACGGCGTGTAACTCTATTTTAAAGGTGATAATGTGTGTGTTATTTCATTATTCTGGTACCTGTCTTATATAATACGCTCACTATATAACTATTCTATTAAATATCATACAAATTATATTACCTAAGCCATAAAAATCAAATAAGTATACAAGATGTCATCTTTCACCATTACTTCTTTCTGAAATTATTCACTATTCCCTACCATTTTTGTGATTCTCCCTTTCTTTTTCCTTATCAATATTACTGCCACTATCGATATTATTACAATTCCCACAATAACAGATACAACGATCAGTATTGTTTTGGTTTTCTTTGGTTCCTCTTTTTTTACTGTGACTTGCTTTGTGGTGTCCTGCTTTGATTCTTCCACATTTGCTTTTTCTTTCTTTGCTTTCTTTTGCTTTCTTTCTTCGCCTTCTTTTGCTTTCTTGCTTCGTCTTTTCTTTCTTTTTCTTTCCTTACCTCTGTTATTTCTTTGGGTATTTCTACCACATATTCTTCCAGGTCTTGTATTATTTGTTCTTCATTCTTTTTTCTTGTTACCTTAATTATTTCAGACTTCATCTGTTCATTTCCGATTGTAAATACAAAATATGTGTAAGCAGTGGTAACATCCATACCTTCTCCGCATGTAAAATGTGAAGCATATGGTAGTTTCTGGACATGCTTTTTCAATTTTTCTAACCTTTCTTCACCTTTTAACTTGCAGTCACTTCCAATTTTGGTTGTTATCTTTATTGCTTCTTCATACAGCAAATGATCCAAGGAATATCCCTCTGCTTTTGATATTACTGCCTGCTTTTTTAGTTCTTTTATTGTTGCCTTTAAATCATCTTCAGTCACCTTGTCATTCACGTAGAACTCCATAATGTTATTCTTTAACCCTTTTTCACCTGGATTGCACTCTACCATCAAATTACCAAAAGCGCTGTGTATCTTGTCTCTCATTGTATAGGCATCATCAAGTGTATACTGTTCACTGCGTGTACAATCATAACCATTATCTATACATGCTATCACCACTTTCGCTTTACCATTGTCCCACATAACATCAGGAAATATCAACAGATTCTCTAGATATTTTTTGGTGGGTCTCATTGTTTTAGCATCCTTCAATTTATCGTATTCAGTCTTGAATTGTTTATATTTCTCATCTTCACCGCATTGTATCATAGCAATATATAACATCCTTAACCAAACAACTAACATCCTATATTACAGGGGCAATTAAGGAAAGTTTTTAAATAGTCGTTAATTGATATGTCAAAGTACACTAGTATTCTTTTGCGTAATTCATTATACTGGATAAGAGCAATTAGTTATTCGTAAGATCACTAAAAGTGTCACTCCTATCAAACACTAAGTATAATAGAACTGATATTTTGAGAACTCCAAAAATGAAACTAGACTCTTCAACAAGCAATAGTGTTCACTCANATAACATCCTTAACCAAACAACTAACATCCTATATTACAGGGGCAATTAAGGAAAGTTTTTAAATAGTCGTTAATTGATATGTCAAAGTACACTAGTATTCTTTTGCGTAATTCATTATACTGGATAAGAGCAATTAGTTATTCGTAAGATCACTAAAAGTGTCACTCCTATCAAACACTAAGTATAATAGAACTGATATTTTGAGAACTCCAAAAATGAAACTAGACTCTTCAACAAGCAATAGTGTTCACTCACCCTCATTTAATCATCAAGCAAGTACTTTCTAAACTCACTATTTTCAACAACTTAAAATAGTTACAAATTCTATCATTAAGTTCAGGTTGAGCTATGTCCATTGCTTCTTTAATGATCCTATTGAATTCTAGGAATTGATATTTCATTTCCTCAGGCTTAATCAAATCTAATTCATGTTGCAACATTGCTTCAATAATGACATCTTTACACACTTTGAATCCATCTGGTGACTCGTGAGATTTCTCAACTTTTATAATTTCTTTCAAAGTATCATGTCTCCACTCTTCAAAATGGTTAATGTTCGTAAAATCAGTTAGAAACAACTTTGTTAGTATCAGGTAACAGATCAGCAGGGACCGGTCTAATCTTAGGATTATTGGAAGCGTTGGATTTACTCATAGAACCGATGGATTTACCCAATCTGTTTGTTTATATATTTTGATGGTAAACAAAGTCTATTGATCTAACTTTCTTGTAGCCTGCAATCGTATAACATGTATGCCACGTAACAGTCTTAACTATACCTAACTGAGCAAAAATTGATTCAGATTAAAGGTTTTCACTTTATCAAGACCATAATTTGTTAAATATTGTTTCTGCCTTGAAGAATATGCCATTGAACATCATATATTCTTTTTAACTAATGATTCCAGGAAAAAGAAAGATACTACAAAATTTTGCCATAAAAATACAGTAAGGTTCATCAATATCACTTTTAATACTGTTTGAATTGGTGAAATAGTCCATTTATTATTCTTTTCAATGGAAAACAGTACCATATCCTCTATTTCCCAATGATATACTCATCTAGTTCTCATTTTACTGTAAATTTTATTGTTTAAAACCACAAAAAGTATGTTTTTCTCTTTATAAATACCTCTATAATCATTTTATTACCATCAACTACACTAATTTAAGTACATTTTCAACACATTAATACAGTTAAAAGGTTCTCACACTATAAACCATCATCTCCTTATACTTTTCAATAGACTCCTTTTATTCCATTCTACTCTCTCCTTAATGATTGACCTAATAAAAGACTATACATTAACTGGTCTAAGTACTCTCTTATCACACACAACCAATGAAACAGGCATTACCTTGGACTTCCTAACCACTGCTTACTCACTTTACGATGAAACGGATATCACTGGTCTCCAATCATCTCTCACAATCACATCACTCGTTCTAGTTGGCCTCCTCATCTTCGGAATGTTCTTCTTTGGTCTCAGATTCAGAAACTTCTTTGGATTCATCTGCATGAATTTCATTCTAATGAATATTTTCAATGCCGTGGTTTCATTGGTTCATGAAAAGACTAGCACTCCCAAATCAGTTGATTATTTACACAGTTATAGACCAGGATACTATTATTGTAAGGAATCAACCAAATTAAAAGAAGGTGATCACATCACAAAAGACCTGATTGAAGTAGTACAGAATAAAACAAGGATGATGATTCAATCTGACAATATTGATCAATATCTCAAAGAGAATGAAACAAGCCTAGTTGTCAAACAGCTTGTGATGATGTTTGGTGCTCTACTTCTTACAACTGTGATCATGATCAAAACCAAATCAATGATTCCAGTTGCAATATCTGGATCAATGGCAATTGGAATCAGACTGTTTTACGAACTATCATTTAGTGATGAACCTGGTAAGAGACTTCTTATTGTAGCACTAACACTTGTTATTGTATCAGTAATATGCTGTTTCATAGACCTGGCCATGAACACCTTGCTACTCCTCATGTTTGCATTCACATCATCATTCACAATACTGTTATTCACAGGAGTAACAGCAAATCAGGTTGAATTCACTAATGGATTATGGTTCAATATCTTATCATATGATCATTTGATGAAACAAGGAATAGAATTCAACTACAACAAGTGGCTTATAATACTGGGAATATTGACTATGATCAGCATATTCTTCAATATTTATACAGCAAAGAGAACTAAAACTAAAAAAAAGAGTGATTAAATAAATTCATACTGTAACTCCTTAATATGATTAGTTCAACACATTTATTGTCATAATCAAATAATTGATAGTATCACGTATCCCAGTAGCATGCACACTATAAACTTGACTGTTTTTGATACTTTCTCATCCTTTTTGTGTTTTCCAGTACTCATGGGTGATATTATGACTTATTTTTTAAGGGGTGATACCAAATAGTCTCTCCCATACCCCTATAATCTATCTCCATAACTACCCCTATTTCTATTATGGCCAATTTCCTGATACTTTTTATTTGTTTTGTTTTTTACCCATGGCATCGAAGCTTGAGGAAATAAGGAACTCGTTCATGGACTCAGTGAAGAGCCTCTTCGAGAAGGTGTTTGGGAAGTTTGTGTCGAATCTGTTTGGGAAGCCAGCAAACATCCTCTTTCTGGGAATAGACAATTCGGGAAAGACGACACTTGTGAGCAAGTTGAAGAACAACACAAATCACGTCTATCTTCCAACTAAGCACATGGTGAAGCAAAAGGTGGAGATTGGGAACCTGACTGCGTCGATATTCGACATAGGCGGCCACGCAGCAGTCAGAATAGCCTGGAAAGACTACTTCTACAACGTAGATGGAATTGTATTCATCGTGGACGTGGCAGACGATGAGCGCTTTGACGAGGTGAGAGAGGCCTTTGAGACGGTGACGTCATTGGAGCAGAAGGCGCCCATTCTGGTTCTGATGAACAAAATCGACATGATTGGGGAAGACGTCCACACTATCACAGGCAAATACGACTACATGCAGCAATATGAATACGCCTGTGGAATAGATCGAAGCAGACCAAATGTGCACATTTTGTACCTGTCTATTTTGACTGAGAACACGTACGACGAGACCAGCGTCCTACGAGGCGGATTCACGTGGCTGAGTCAGAGAATATCTGAGGAGAAAGAGAAGCACAAATGAGAAGTGATGCGCATGAATGCATTTAAGCTTAATTACCCCTGTTTCCAGAATGTTTATTTACAGTTTCATTTTCTGCTGAAATGTTACAGAAAGCATGGCCCATGCTTCTACGACTCCTTCTGGCGCATGCTTTCTCAACCAATTTGGAGGACGACGACTATTTCAGGCAGCAGCTTGAAGAAGAAGACGATCTCTTAGTCCAGCACCTCAGGCTCAAGGGATACAACGTCACGCCACCGTCTCACCAGATGCCACCGTCGCAGTAGACTGTTTCAATAAACTGTTTCACGCTGTTTTATCTCAGTTTGCGACTTATTCCCATGCTCACCCTAATTCTGTTTTCTCGGGCATTTTGCCTATTCTACAACTACACTGTTCAAAGAACTAGTCCACAGGAGTACACAATCCCGTACAACAGCCCCAGGGACGTAAATCAGGAATACTCTACCAGATTCATCAAATCTGGTGGACTATCTGCCTCAGACTACTCGAAGAAGCTGGTTGAGTTGCTTAGGAAGCCAATTACTGGTGATGGAGACCCAATGTTGAGTGATGAGCTATTTAAAGAGGGAACTGTGGCCAGGGGCATTGCTGATCCAACTCACGACTTTGTTGTTACAGAGAAGATGACGAATGATACGCTAGTGAACTACTTAAATCATTAGGAAGTGAATTGATAATGTTGGATAGTTAGGTTAATATATTATATTATAGTCACATATATATTCTACCCTAATATATTCCACCTATATTCATTCCACCCTAATATTCATTCTACCCTAATATTCACCCTATATTCATTCTACCCTAATATTCCACCCTAACCAATCCTATTTAAAACACCTGTAAAAATATCTGCCTTGTTTCATGATCAATGCTTCTACATGTGCTACTTGGTGTTATTCTAGGACACGATCACTCTAAGTTTGACATGGATTGTCCCACGTGTGCCATGCACTACAACAAGACGGGCGAGAAGGCGCCTCCTTCGCAGCAGCCAGCTGGTCGTGATCCAAATCAGGTGGAAATTCCAGATGGAACTGAGGAGCACAAGAAGATGGAGGACGAGCAGAGAGAGGGCGAGAAGGAGATGCAGCAGCTTCAGCAGCAGAAGAAGGAGGCGGAGCAGAAGGCAGCTGAGGCTGAGAAGGAGGCAGTTGAAACCAAATTGCATAATACGATTCATGCGCAGAAGAGGAAGGAAGCAGAGCAAGAGAGCAGCAGGAAGATGATGGACATGCCAGCGCATTTTGAGTACAAGAATCCGGCGGCAGTGAAGGTGTTTACGCCTCTGAGCATCCCATTCAAGGCCCATCAGCTGCTGGCCATGAATCGAGTCATGGACATGCGTAGGGCACTTGCTGATCTCATTGAGAAGGAAGGGCGCATCATTCACACTGAGATGGTTGAGAAACCACGCCAATTCAAGGACGATGATGGCAAATACAACTTCCCAGTGAATCCGTCTTCAAACACCCCTCAGGCAAAGAAGGGCTTTCCAACTGAAACCAAAGAGGCTCCTCAGGAAGAAACCAGTTCGAATCCAATCATTCAACGAATAACCAGAACATTCAGGAGCATCCCGTACTTCTCAGATGACAATACGGCAAAGGGAATGCAAGCAGGAAGCAATTTCAGCATATTTGATTAGGCAATCTGAAATAGGTAAATAATTAAAAGGGTAGTAACTATATAAAAGTATAATATTATTGCCACTACAACTGTTTTACCAATCGCACTGCCACCTGAATCAAACACGTGTTTTAAGTCTTACAAAAAGTAGTGGTGGAATTGTAGCATGCTTTGGCTATTTGGGACTGTGACGGCATTCACGTACGGGATATCGGGGTTTACGGTGGACTTGAAGGAGAAGTTCTCGAATCAGAGCCATGAGAAGGCAAGAAGCCACCTGACTGGAGTTTATAGGGGTGACAATGTGCCACTGTTCAAGACCAGGAGTCTACGGCGCCTTCTAGATAAAATGTGACAGAATATTCCTACAATTTACTACTTTCTCATTTTGTCACTTCGTATAAACGGGTTCTCGTTGAACTTGTAGCAATTGGTTTCCTGAACTGTTTTGTCTTCATTTCGTCCATTGGTGTTCAGCAGATTCTCCTTGTACGGATTCGACTGCTTCACTATCCCCTTCACCTTCCCAATCTTATTGACTACCCCTGCAATTGTCTTCTTCGTCTTGCTATACGTCTTCTTTAGCAAATTTAGGCCGGATTCACCCCTCTTTACTTCTGGAAGCGTGGTCTCCCTGAATTCTCGTTCTGGATCATTTTCCAGGTAGTCGCTGACTCCAACAGTCTTCCTTTCCATTTCTGCCCTATTTTCATATTCAACTCCCCTAAATTCAATTAGAGTTGGCTCATCCAGGAATTCAATCGTATCCTGTCTGAAGAGGTCGATGTTGCCATTGATGCGCTCAAGGGTCTTCTTGCTGATATTTACGCGTATTTCATCCATTTTCAGGAGACTTGGGCCACCCTTTGGTTCAGGTGCATTCATAAAGTCAATTTGCTCACTCTTTTCTTCTACTTTATTTTTAATATTCTTCTTTTCTATTTCTTCCTCTCTCTTTATTTCATTAGCAGCCTTGTTTATCATCTCAATTGATGAGTCTTCTACTTTTGTATCAAATCCACGTTGATATTCACTCATATCAATCTTCAACAAATCTCTTGGTTCAATGAAGTCTAATTCATCAAAAAGCCCTTCATTCTTGCTCTCATTCCTCGTCTCCTCTATCCTAGGACTCTTTTCTTCCTCTTTTTCATCATTTATGGTCTCCTCATTTTTATTGTTTGTTTCTCTTTCCTCTATGAATCTGTCAATGGTCTCGAAATCCTCATCTGTCCAGTAGTAGTTGTCTAAGTTCTTGGCTGGTAGCGTAATCTTCTGGTCCGCTGACTCGTCGAATGTGACACGCTTTCTTGATTTTTTATGTTCCATTTCACGGCTTAATTGTACAAATTTAAGAAGGAAAGAGCCAATACAAAAAAGTGTGTTTTAGAACTGTTTTAATTTCAAAGATTGTTATGTGACAATGTTAACATTCATCAAAGGAGTATTTGGTGCTATTGGCTCTGAGAACTCTCCATTCTCCAAGAACTATGGCGAAGTGCTCCTGACACCTGTTGGAAAGGCAGATTACGCCCTGGCTCGTCAGGGAACTGAGGTCTATTTCGTCTCTCGTGACTTTTTGATGGGATCAAATGCCTATAACACGCTTCCACCTGAGATACTGGGATCAAAACACTCTCCAGATGACAACATTTACATCAATTTGGTTGGACACCATCTTTGTGACGAGAACAAGAGTGATAGACCAACAGCATGTATGGTTACAGAAGTAGGAGAGTGGAACGTAAGAACGAATCCAAGAGGGCGACTACAAGTGGCAGATGCCTGTCAGTTAGCTCATTTGAGCTTTTTAGAAGGAGATACAAGGCGAAAATGAAGACGTGTAATGGTTCACAGGACCAGATGTTTGAGATGAGGGCAGTGACGTCAAAGAAGATCAAGAGCATCGATTACGTCGATGAAGAAGGACGAGTGACGCCAAAGAAGAATTCAATGCAGAAAGTGCTACCTTAACCATAAATAATTATTAAGCTTATTTCGTATAAAAATAGTGAGAGAATGGAACCCTGAAATGAGAATAAAAAGTTTGACGCTGAAGAACTACAAGAGCTTTAAGGGCACTCATAAGGTGAGTCTTGGTGAAAAGAGCATTGTATTGGGCAGAAATGGATCGGGAAAATCAAATTTGCTTAGTGCACTTTTTAGTGTATTTATGCATGATAAATTCAAGGATGAGGAGAAAGTTCAGTACAATAAAAATGAGGAGGAATCATTTGT